GAGGGATGCAGCGTATCCTGCCGTCAGGACATCATGCCACAAACGCGTGACAAGCGAACGATCAAGGTCATGGCCCCCTGTTCACACCGTCTTTGTGCTGATTGGCCACCCATCAGCCTATGACAGTCCCCTTGCCATATACTCGGCCGTTTCCACAAGCCTCCTCACTTGTGCTGTCTATCGTACTCAGTACACGTCCTATTTCCAATTAGCCTTCTGTTTTGCATACATAACAGTCTAGACGTAGAATAGCTGGTGACCTATGAGTTCGGTCTGTCAATCAAGAGGTACGCGGTGGAGTCGAAACAAATTGCTATAAATACTGCACCCCTGTTCGATTCACCAGCCTCTGTTATTGTCTGTTAGTGTGACTCTTAAACGTTAGGCAAAGTTTAATAGCAGGCATCGCATAAGTTATAGTGTAGCAACCCGAACTACCCAAAGAAAATAAGTAGCAATAAGGTATGGAAGTGGTTATACTTCACGCTAATCGAGCCGAATTCGTTTTACTCAGTATTTGAAACTCGGCCTTTTTCGTCTATTAACGACTACAGGATCACTGCGAACGGACATACTTCGGCCAAAAGTACATGGGCTTATGGCTCCGAAGTAGGAACGCCATAAATTAGTCGGCGGGCCTTGTAGCGACTGTCTCGGATTCAGGTCTCGGTTCCTTCCTATTGCAGACGAGACTCAGGTTGATTAGCTGGTGATATAGAAAGAAGCTCGAAAATTCCCATCCATTCTGTACTCTTTATCAATACAGTCTGCATTGTTAAATGACTGGGGAGCACGCTCGCAGACAGCAGCCAGGGCGTAGATTACAAGGCACGATAAGAGCTTAGCTAATTCAGCTTAATGCATTTTCTTAATTTGTAACCAGCGAATGAAGTGACACCTGCCTTGTTATTCCTCCTGACTGAAAATTAGTGTCCACTTTACTTGATCCGATCACAACCAGTGAAACATACAAGCAAGTTGGGTACCGTTGTCACCCCAGAGAGGTGGGACTTACTTGCAATAACTGGTTGACGTCCTCGCAGGTCTGCATAATCCTGTCCATTTCACCGTAGAATATGGAGGCCGCGACGAGCAGGTGGAAATTCTTGGGAACGACGTCGCTCCAAAGGGCCTGAATTGAGAGCAATGGGTGTGAGTGGTCGTAGGGATGGAACGAAGGTTTTGGATTAGCAAAGTAAACAAAATCGAACAGAAGCGGCAGACTGTGAGGGCTTAGAATAGAGAACGTGACTTTGGCCTTGCCATTGCTGTTGACGGGGAACAGAGGTGTAAGAGGGATCAAAGGGTCAGGCAAACTTATTCCCTTAGATTGAATACCAGTAAAACATCTGTTTTAACCTACTGAAGAGCCACTTAGGCCGCAGTGACCTTCAGTGGTCCAATGAGACTTGGGACTGATCTAAACACAGCCTCCAATGAATTGACGTGAAAGGTTGTAAGACGGCATAGGGTGAACTGGAGTAGGTAAAAGTACGACTACGCGTTCACGTTATTCTTGAAAAAGAAGTCAATGAGTGGGAACTGCGATTGGGAGTCAAAGGCTCCTGAAGGAGGGCAATGGTGTGCACATGAGTGCGGTTACAGCAAATTCAGTTAAATGCGCTGTTTCGGTTTTATCATAGGAGCCAAAAAAACAGATTACAGGGACCATTCGAGTTTAACGCCGGTTAAGCACAATGTCGGTTAGTTAATCTCCCGCTGTTGCCGTAAATGATTGGAAATGTATACACAAGGTTTTTAAATCAAATTTGAGGTAGCGGTTACCTCCGTGAGTACTAACGTAACAAACAGGAATGCCTGCTCATGATCGATGGGCACCGACTAGTTTGCTGGGACACCAAAACCCGGCATTTTTTTTCAACAGGAAAGGTGGTATATCAACCTCAGCATGCTATCAGAACGGGAATTACTTGACCGGCAGGTCAAATGGCAGCGACTTGGAAAGCTGATTGCTGAGATTTTCTGTAACAGTTGCGGCAAGAAGCCAGTTTTAACCCCGACCACCGACGTAACGCGCTAGTGAGAAAGCGAAATCAGGATAAACAAACACTTTAGCGGAGTAGGATTGCTCGATCCAACTGCTTTCGAGCAACAGCCTTTTGTAATAAAAAAGAAGCAATGTGTGAAGATAACCAGACTGAATTAAGAGAAGAGAGAGGGCACGTACAATATGGCATAGATAAAAAGGGCGACAGACTAACCTCCCAGAGGACTTTGATATCGTCATAAGAGAACTCGCGTTTGAAGAGGATTAGAAGCCACTTGAAGCAGAAGTTCATGTAGTTGGCCTCCTTACTCCCTGTAAAAAGAGTCGGGCGGCTTCATCAGTGACGAGGCACATGTGATGACAGACCTAGAGATGCATACAAACTTGACCGGGCATACTGAGCTATGCCTCGCGTTCAGCTGTGAATGAAAAACTATACAGCTATGATCTCTGATCACCTGAGGTCGCCATCGGGACATTTATTCGAGGGACAGGGGTTCGGCAGTATAGTACTGTCTTCGCACTTTGCCCATAGGCGCAGTTTCCTACCCATGTTTGCCACTAACTATAGAAAAGTAGGAAGTTGCCTCAATAAGGTACTTTGGCTGTTCTCTAGGAGATTGTATCATTTTGGAAAAAAGGATAACTTAGTGATGTCAAGTATAAGAACAGGAGGCTCGAATTCCGCTTTGTATTAGAAACTTCTAGACACTCTGGAAGCCATGTAATTATGTTGCGATGAGTATGTTTTTGGGAGGGAAGTGGCTCTCAGCTTGAATTCACTTCCGACTAAAAATGCCGGGTACCAGACCGAGGTTCAAGCGG